ATTACTATTATTATTATTATTATTATTATTACTATTATTACTATTATTATTATTATTATTACTATTATTACTATTATTATTATTATTATTACTATTATTACTATTATTATTATTATTATTACTATTATTACTATTATTATTATTATTATTACTATTATTACTATTATTATTATTATTATTACTATTATTACTATTATTATTATTATTATTACTATTATTACTATTATTATTATTATTATTACTATTATTACTATTATTATTATTATTATTACTATTATTACTATTATTATTATTATTATTACTATTATTACTATTATTATTATTATTATTACTATTATTACTATTATTATTATTATTATTACTATTATTACTATTATTATTATTATTATTACTATTATTACTATTATTATTATTATTATTACTATTATTACTATTATTATTATTATTATTACTATTATTACTATTATTATTATTATTATTACTATTATTACTATTATTATTATTATTATTACTATTATTACTATTATTATTATTATTATTACTATTATTACTATTATTATTATTATTATTACTATTATTACTATTATTATTATTATTATTACTATTATTACTATTATTATTATTATTATTACTATTATTACTATTATTATTATTATTACTATTACTATTACTAGCATACGTGCCCGCGCGTTGCACAGATTATTTAAAATGTAATTGTAGACAATAAAATTTGCGTCGAGAAAACAATAATCAAGAACGGAAAATTATGCAACAATCATTTTATTATTTCAAAGTGCAAGTGTTACAATCTCTATGATTCCTCTGAATTCGCCTTTTCAAATATAATTCAAGGGCTTTTGAGCTTGATCTTGAATTTGGAATTTATCTTGATCTTGAACTTGAACTTGGACTTGGACTTGGACTTGATCTTGAACTTTATCTTGAACTTTATCTTGATCTTGACTTCTAGTTGAATTCAAGGGCTTCGAGCTTGATCTTGAATCTGGTGGTCTTGATCGTTCTTGAAACTTGAACGTTCTTAAAACTTGAACGCTTGAATTCTTGAACTCTTGAACTTGTAGAGAAATCTGCGGCTTTTGATCCACGAGCTTTCTCTAGCTTCTTGTTAAAATTCTTGGTTCTCTTTTCTGAATTATGATGACCTCTATTAGGGAAAATTACTTACATGTACACTTTTAAAAAAATATTTACGACATGACATATGGGCTTTATGGAGCGGGCTTTAATTAAATTCATATTTAATGAATTTAAATAGTTAATTCAATTATATTAATTTATAATATTTATTTGGACTAATATATTAATGAATTACCAGGCATACATAAGTGTATAATTTAATATACCACTTTAATATATTAAAGTGATATAATTAAGTGGGAAGAGATACAATTTCACGTGGCATTGAATAGGGATAATATGACCTCTTAATTCCTTTCCTTTTCTTGATTTTAAGAATAACGGCCCCAGTTAGAAAATAAAAAAAAATAAAGAATTGTAATTGAACTAGGAATTGTTATCCTACTCAATTTCATATTCATATATTTTATTTTATTTTTTTATTGCCTTAGCCAAACATGAATTGTAATTGAATTAGAAATTTTAATCCTACTCAATTTCAAATTCATATATCTTTTCTATTGTCCTAGCCAAAAAGAAATTGTTATTGGACTAGAAGAAGAATTTTATTCCCATCACATGACATCTATAAATAGACACATTGGGTGTGTTTGGTATGAAGGAAAACATTTTCTGGAAAACATTTTCCAATTTTCTCATGTTTGGTTGGGCTAAATGTTTTCCAAATCAACTCATTTTCCTCAAATTAAGGAAAATGACGTCCCTTCAAAACTTAAGAAAACATTTTCCAAAACTCTCTTTTAACTTCAAATTACAATTACTTTTTTGTTGAAAAAATCAATTTATTTTGCCTCTACCCTCAAACCAGCCCCCCAACCACCACCCCCCAAAAATAAAATAAAATTTTAAAGCTTGTTTTTAAATTTAATTTTTTTACC